TTTTTTTTTTTTTTTATTAATATTTTATTCCAGTTTTTAAGGACAGATTTTTTATTTTTTTTTATTTTTTTATTTTTAATTTTTTTTTTCATGTTTTTTTCTTTAGGATCGGAAGATTTGGTTTAGTTTTGGCGCAGAATTTTTAACTTACTAATATTTTTACTTTTTTTTCAGATTGGGTTTAACGTGATGCTGCGGCACCTGATTTTTGATGAATCAACATTGATTTCCGTTTTAATTTAATTATTACCATCTAGGTTAAACCAAATATGGTATTATCTGATTATTATTATATTTATAAAAATAATAAATCCGAAAACCTATTATAACAGGTAATTAAAAATGTGTTTGTAATGAGTAACTCATGTTATGCAATTATTGTTATCTTGTCATGTTTAACGTTTAACGTTTACTTGTTGGTAAATTTTTCTTACATTTATTTAAGCTAGAGATCCAATTCGTTAACTGTTCGTTTGTTTATAATTTAGATATTTGACATCTGTTGGATAAATTAGTTAGATCAAATGAAGTCAGATTGCATTGAACACATTTTGGTTTTATATCATTTAATTTGCTCATGATACAAATTGAATCAGTAAGTTTAATGTTGAATACTTTTTATTACTAATATTACTAAGATTTTTGTAAAAATATATATATTTTTATGAAAAATTTATAGCTTCTAGAATGTTAGTATGTCATACATACATACATAAAGCCACGCTATTCCTGAAGTTTTTTGCATGTTACATATTAATTTATAGTATGAGTACATGAGTTTATTGTGCACGTGAATCACTGAGTCACGTTGATTATTGATTGAATTTTTGAAGGACGAGCAAGTGATTGGAGAAATTCAGATTAAATATTCTTTTAAACTCTAAAATATTCCCCTATAATATACAGTGAACTTCATGCAATAGAGTTTAACTGATGAGCATGAAGTATTTTTATTTTGCTTCCAATCAAAAAATATTCTTAAGAAAATTAAACCACCTTCACTTTTAGCATCAAACGAATATTAGAATTTATGGTGTAGCAAATATAAATAGGTATTATTTATTTGGTTACGTTATCTTTTTGTCGGTATTGTGCTTTATTGTTTTTTAGGTATGAAACTTTAACCAGTATGCATCATTTGCCGATCTTATCGTACCTGTTTCTCTGGATGTACTGTATATATTATATAATAAATACAACTAAAACTTGCAGTTACGGTACAAAGCCTCCCAATAAAATGCTGTATAATACCTATAATATTATTTTCTTTTTAATTCAATTTTAAAACTTACCACTAAAAAGTTAAAGGAAATTTTTTATAAAATTATTATTCATTTTGTTTATAATACAACTGTAATGTGATTAATCATACCCAAAGGTTATTCATATGATAATGTAATATTTCGGTACGATTAGTATCGTGCCATCGTACCTGTACATAATTAAAAATATTTTATTTATTATATCATATCGTACAATACTACTTTATTACAAATCACAAGGCTTTTATTAAACAATATTCAACAAGATTATTATAATGGGAGTATATAAAAAGTATGATTAAACTGTAATTAATAGGAGTATATAGTAAAGCCCTGCCTGTATTACTAGGATTAACTGTAAATAGATTTATCAACATTGTTTAATATTAAGCAAAAATATTTTGAAAGACCGGAATAAAATAATAAAAAAATAATTTTACAAAAGATAAATTATATAATTAATGTTAAATTTCTCAAAGCAATTGGCTTGAGCTTGATGTAATGGTCAGGATAGTATCGGGATTACTGATTAAGGTACCTTAAAATTGATAAATTAGTAATTAATTTGATCAATTAATTGATTTACGATTAATCAACCGGTTACAAATTTTAATTTCGTTTTGACAAGTTTTAACCCAATTAAAATATTTATAAAAACTTGAGAAATTTAAAAAAAGTACAATATTGGTTCAGATAGCTGCGGATATACTTGCCACAGAAATATATCCCATCCCATATTCCATTTATCCCATCCCATTTGTCATAATTCCATATCCCCATCTCCCATTGGTCAAATTTATCACGTGAATAACGTGATGCTAATGCAAAAATTCCAAAAGGTTCCACACACATTTTAAAAAAGGAAATTTATGCGCCGATCACACAATTCCGGCCAAAATTACGTATTACAGGAGTTTAATATTATCTATCTAACCTATTGGATTAATCCAATGGTAGTAAAATCATATTTAGTTTCATCATTAATATTGATTGAGTTATTATGAAAAATGTATTTTTATTATATGTTACCCTTATTTTATTAAAACTTAAATAAATGATGAACTGAGTTTAAGTGGCCTTACAGGTTTTCCATAGGTTTGTATAAATTTTACATATTAATTTTAACTAGAATTGTATATTACAGGAGTGGGTTTAAAAAATACTTTATTTAAAACCAATATTTTATATCATTGAATTAATTTTAGTAAGAGGAATCTATTGGTAGTAAAATTAATATTAATTAAATTATATTATAAAATATACAGTATTTTTTACATTTTTTTTTACTTAGTAAATTTTAAGAAATAATAATTTGTTTCTCCATTTTATAAAAAGAATTTTTTTTTCATTATAATATATTATTTTCCATTATGTATAAAAAATTATTTTTTCATCATAAAAATTTCTCTTCATTATAAAAAATTTTTTAAAATATTTTCCATTATAAGGTGATGTAACAATAAAAAATTAGTTCTTATTATATAGTCCGTCTTGTAAAAGTTTATGGAAAAAAACTTATATGCTAATATTGATAATTCATTATTAAAAATATATTTTGTATAAACATTTTAACAATAAAATAATTTAAAACTTTATTTTAATATATTAAAAAATTTATCTATAAAATATTAATTATAAATCAGAAAAATTCTGATTTGTAATTCTGATTTGTAGTTAATTTACAATTAATAACAAATATTTATATTATTAATTAAAATACTCATTTTTAGATGATAATTTATAGATGATTTTATATTCTAATTAATGAAAGAACTAAATATTTAACAGAAAATGGTTTGGTATTTAATAAAAAAGGGCTTGGAGTTTGGTAGGAAGTGGCTTGGTATTAACTTTTAATAAAGTGGCTTAACGTTTAAGAATTAAGAGCAGTGACATATATTAACTAATAATAGTTTCATAAATCATAAGGAGCTTTATTACCCACCCCAGGTAAGATCTTACTTTTAACCAATAATATTTAATTACACATATAATACTAATTTTAACCAATAAAAAAATGTTTAATTTTGTGTCATGTAAGATTTTGCTTAACCCTAAAATATTAGCTAATACATGAAACAAAAGGCTTTGTATTCAAAAAACGTGCTTAGTATAATGGCTTGACATTCACGAAAAAGGACTTTGTTTTCTAATTTTTAATTTCAATTTCAAATTTATATTAATATATACTACAATATAAGATGAATATATTTAACCCAATCAATGATCAATAAATTAACAGATTATGTGATATTAAATGATATAAATGCTCAATAGAATAATACTTATAGATAATTAAATATATAAAAAAATTATAAAACATATTAAAAACAAATCTTTTTAAAGAAAATGTTAAAATATTATAAATATTATATCTGGAAAATTTTATATTAAAAAAAAAAATCATGGGAATTATTTGGGTGGCAAGTATAGCTGCGGCCGCCAATCATCATTAATAATACAGACTAAGTTTATTTTCGTTAATTAGCAAAAAAAGTTTCCTATTAAATTTCATTACCCATAAATATGGAATAAATCAGCACAAACATATCAACAATTCAAATTATTATCTAAATGTGACAATTTGTTTAGTATATTTTAGATGATCAACCAGTCACTGATTAACTGGCTACCTACTATAGAGGCTAATTAATTATTTGTTATAAAAAAAAATTAGTTTTAAGACTTTTGAATACATAATAAAATAATAGTCAACTATTCAACATTTAATATTATTGGTCAGTTCATTTAATGTTTGGTATTTCTAGTATTTTTTCTTCATTTTTTTTGAAGGTCTAAGCTAGTAATAATGTGTCATGTTTTTTATCATTAATTTTATTTGATAATAATAAGTTAATAACTCAAATTATCATATTATAAGTCTACCTTAAAAAGTGTGTGCAACCCTGTGGTGTTGGACATTTATTTTCATGTTTATATATTTTATAGATTACCCATTTTGTTAAATTAGATGTACAATTTTACTGTTTTGTATCATTAGGAAATAATTACATGGAATAATTATACAATCTTATAAACTATGTTACAATAATCTATTTGATACAACTTATGCAAATATGTATTTATTAAATTTTTGATCAAAAAATTTTTACTGCTGTAAAAAATAACCTGATATAGGCTTTCAGTTTATGCTTTACTACAATAATAATCCAGAATTAAAATATATAAATAAATCTTTTTATAAGAATATTTCCATTTTTAAACTAAATTTGTAATTTTGAATTTCTTAATATACTTAATTTAATATTTTATCATTTTCATGTTATCTTCATATTGATTATTAATAGCAATATTAGTAATAATCATTAAAGAAATTTATTTTTTGCAATTTTGATTTTACGTAAATGAAATAGATAGTAATTCGAAAATATTATGTTAATGCCACACATCTTTCTACATCAAACTTTGATACTTGCAAAATATTGACAACTTTTAAAATTATTTTTAATGTTTTCAATTTAAATCCAGTAGAAATGTTCTTTAATTTTGAATAAAACTAAATTATCATTATGATTTCATTAAAATTGAATAATAATTAAATATCATGTACTACAATTCTTTATAAAGGTTTAATTAGATTATTATAATAATCTTATATTATTAATATATTATTTTATTAATATGTACTGTATATACTATATACTCTTTAAAGTTTATTTATTTTGTACACAAAAAAAAAAATAATAACTATTTTTTGTGTTAATGTACCAAGTGACTAAAAAAGAAGATTAAAATGTTATCCTTGTGTTACTATAAATGTGCCACGTGCTGATCACGTATTTATCTAATAAACTATTAATGTCCTGCGTGAATAGTATGACGAATTACGCACGCAACTTCATCTGCAATTAGATCAATTAGATCATGCAGTTTTATGAGAAATAATCAGTCACTCTGTAAAATGACATTTTTACTAATGATTTAAAGTTGCGTAATAAAAAAATATATGCTAGAACTTTCAGGAAAAACATGATTACGCAAGCAACGCAAATTAACAATATTGACTTTTAATAGTTGTACTAATTAATACAGTAATACATCTTTAAAAGGTATGAAACACAATTAATAATATAATTAATTAAATTAATTAAATTATATTCTAAAGATATAGTAATCCATCTTTAAAGATATTAAACATAATTAATTAAATTGTATTCTAAAGAAACCAAGGAAATATAAAAGGATGAAGAAAGTTTATGTTCGCCGCCTAATATTATAATTAAAATATATTTTAATCATTAATTCTTACTGTATCTGTGTCTTACATGAACACAACAATATAAATCAACTGTCATAATTACAACATACAAATTATTATAGTATTATTAATCTAAATGATAAAATATTAAGTTAAAGTTATATATTTTAATCATTAATTCAGCATAACAATATAGATTAACTGTCATAATTGCAACATACAAATTATTATAGTATTATTAATCTAAATAATAAAATAATTAAGTTAAAGTTATATATTTTAATCATTATTAACTCTTACTGTATCTGTGTCTTACATGAGCACAACAATATAAATTAACTGTCATAATTACAATATACAAATTATTATAGTATTATTAATCTAAATAATAAAATATAGAGTTAAAGTTATATCATTATGACTTAAAATTAGACATGTAGATAATTAAAGAGAAACCTCATTATTTTTAATTGCCTTCTATTCTTCATGTCAATAATAGAAATAATGTGTCAGATTGACAAGTAAATTTGCATTGATGTATCAATCTGAATCAAGAACTTTTCTTTTATTTAAAAGCCCTCTAAAATTTTTCTGAAACTCTCAAAATAAATAATTTCTGAAACTTCAAATTAAAATACTCACTTTTTTAAATAAATTGAAATTAATCAACATGAATTCATATCCTGGCCAAGATAGTAAGTTTAATAATAAACAATATTTTATTTTATAGTAATTCTTTTTTTCTTATTTAGCATGTTTACTAACTAAATCTTTGACTTTTAGCTCTCATCTCTTATTTAAAAAAGCAAAACAATAAATCATATCGTGGGTTCTTAATTCTACATAAAAATATTGTTGTTGCCTCAGTAACTTCGGATCTCAAGTGGAATGATCTTGACAATGCTTGGGCTGGTAATTATATAAGAGAAGCAGAAAAGATTTTTGTGGATCAACAAGTTATTAACACATTAAAAGAAAAGGTGTGTATTTTTTTTATTTTGCAAGGATGGGGTAACTCTTAAGACGAGCCGTACGGGAGATTGACCAGTTGATATCAAGTTTGAACATATACCATTATGTGTCCACATGTGATGATGATTCAGTTTAGCTGGATTTGAACATACGTTGGGGAATGAGTTATATGTAAAGATGACAAGATTGCTGAGTTAATCAAACAATAAGCCTTGGCTTCTGAGAATTACTGTTTGGAGACGCTTGGTAACCACTCCATAGCTCGATATTCAGGCATCCTGTCTTTGTCGTTGGTAAAAGTCTGTTAATTTTGGAGGAGAAATTGACTATGTACCTTCTTTTACTACTAAATAAAAAGTTTACACACTGCTAATAATGCTTTCTTACTAATGATAGCTAAATATAGAACGCTTGGAGTATAAGAAGGAATTCAAATCATTTTGGAAAATCGTAATCCAAGAAAATCATGAAAAAGAGAATTTAACACCTAAAACTAAATTACTCACTGAAGATCTTCCTCAATCTTCTCAAGTTGATCACAAAAAAATCAAGAGTATTAAAAAAAATGATGATGATAATACATCTAATTTACTTATTGGTAAGTCATATTATCATTAAATCATCTCAATAATTTTTATATTTATATTATTTACCAATTTATATATTCAAATATTAATTTATTAGAACTTAAAGAGAAGCAAAACCAAAATGAGGATCATTATTTATCAAAGCAAAATGAAAATCCTAAAGTAAATCACAAAAAAATTAATAAGATCATTAAAAGAAATAATGAAGAAGTTACAGATGATGATCCATTTATTAGTAAGTCTTATTATCATTAAATTGCATTACTTTTAGCATTAAATGGCATTACTTTTTTATATGATTCATTAACTTATTATATTAATTTATTAGACCTTAAAAAGAGACAAAGACAAAATGAAGATTATATTGGTTTGGCATATAAAGATCTTGTTTCAGGTAATATCATCAGCTTCATTAAACTTCTAAAGGAAACATTATTAACAAGGTTACGAAGGTCATTATATTCAGCAAATGAATCAGTTCTTCAAGTAACTATAGAACTTCTTTTGCCATCAAAATATCGTGTTCCTGAACTTTGCTTAATAATGAATACTGCAGTGAATAAGGGATACGGTAAATTTGGTTTCCTTGATGTTTTTGTCCTTGGAGAATGCTATACTAATATTGAATTAAAATATATTCCACTAACTGGGTTAGTGAGTAATACTGATGGAAAATATTTTGATGCAAATGAATTGGGAGAATTAGATAAAGTAATTGAAAGAGAAGATGAAGATATATTGTTAAGAAGACAATATAGATATTTTGATAAAAAATCTAATAAATATATTTGCACAACTATAAATGATATATTAAACAATGGAGCAAAGCAATTAGAAAGGTACATGAGAATAATTGCAAAAGGACAGGCAAATAAATATTCCACAGGAGTATGTGATGAACGAATTAAGATAATTAATTCAAATCCTAATAAGTTGATAGGATTTGTTATTGTAGTAATAGGATTTCGTCGAATAATATGGAGATCCGTTGATGAAAAATTAACTACTAATTATAGATATATTAAGATTAATTAATTTTTATAAAAAAAATATAATATTCTATTTAATATCATATTTTTTAATAATTTTTAACTTTCTTTTTAATTTACCTTAATTATACATATACAAAAAAATTCTCCCCACTTAATTTATATTTAGATTAAATTTATTATATTTGATTATATACTGCTTTAAATATTTTTTTTTCATTAAAACATTTAGTATATAAAGAATCTTTCCACTCATTATTTTCAGGGATTCATTTTTAGATTATTACGTTTAATTATTATATCTTACCTTTAAAATTATTATTATTATTTTAATACTTATACAAAACTTTTCCTCACTCATTATTTTCAGCATCTTACTTTAAAATTATTATTTTTCTTAAACATTTTTAAATTATTTTTTTAAAAAAAAAAAATTATTACAAATATTTAGCTATATATATCAAAAGCAATAGTAATAATTTACTAATAAATAAATTTACTTTGAAAAATAAAATAAGTAATTTGATCAGATAGTCTCCATTTCAATTTTCTCGTTCATCTCGAACGTTTCGAGGGTCACATAACGTCTAAGGTTTTTCATCATACCCTGTAACCCGTATGTCATAACCTTGAAAATTTGAACTTAATCAGAAAAAAACCTTTAGGAACTAGTTATTGGATTTTTCGTTGTGATATTGTATTACCAGAATTAACTGTCAAAATTTATTAATTACTCTGCATATTTTCGCCGGATTTATCTGTTTCCTCAACACATTTTTGGTGATTAAGTCAAAAACAATAGATAGATTGTAAGAATGGTAATCATATATAAGATGATATTAAAATATTAAAAACCATTTTTCATACATACAGTCATAGTCTTTCTTCACGAGGGGTGTAAAACCTTATCATAATATATTAAATACTTGACTTTACACGTCGATACACAGACTGGATTGATTTCCATCAAAAATAATAAAAGTTCTTTTGATAGGAATCTTTAGACAATCTCAAGTATCAATAATCAATAAAGTTTATAGATTGGATAAATTAATCTATTGAAAGAAAAATTATAAATGTTCCGAATAAATTAAATTGTTAAATTTTTTCTGGAAGTATCAAATAACTGACTCATACTCTTTATGGTAATAAGCTACATGAATATTTCTTTATCACGTAAATTCAAATTTGCATATGATTTTTTACGTCATATAAGAGTTAACTTTCATTCAATAAAATACTTTGTTCCACAAGATTTATTAACAATGACAAGCGTTATTTAAAAATTTTAAATTAGTTATAAACACGCTTCCATAAAATTTATTTAAAATTATAGTATGTATAATTAGAGTATGTATCAAAAAGTTGTTTTTTAACATTTACTAAATAAAAAATTTACAATTTACAAAATTAATTATAGCAACAAGAAATCGTATCTAGTAATACACTTTAGGAAAATTATTAAATTCGCCAAACCAAAAATTATTAATTTAAATTTGAGAACATGTCAACTTTTTAATCAACTATAACGTATATAACAATTTGACACGACGCTGATACAAAAAAGAATATTTACAATATTTACAATATTTACAATAAATAATTTGAAATTATTAAAGCGTAAAAAATTGAATACTATTATATTTTTCTCTAATAAGTGATATTATTACTCAACATATTCAATTAATTTACATTACGAATTTTTAATTTAATGTTACACGGTGATATGGTAATAATTCCGCAGTCTTGGTGAAAAAATTTTTTTATTCAGATGATCTGCACGGGGATAATTATTATTCTGAAAAAAATACGATAAAATAATTTACTAAAAAATTTAGCGTAATTTAATTCGTAAATCATTTAGTTGATTAATTATAGTTCAAATATGTCTCCTTTTTTTTAGAAACGAATGAATTCAAAATAAACATGTTTTACGTTTTAGTCGCTTTACGTAAATTTTTTTTTTTTTTTTGTGGCGCTAGCTGATTTATTCAATATCCTTACACGGATTCGTCATCATTACATCATTGTGCATTTAAAGTTAAATACGATNAAAAATTTTAAATTAGTTATAAACACGCTTCCATAAAATTTATTTAAAATTATAGTATGTATAATTAGAGTATGTATCAAAAAGTTGTTTTTTAACCTTTACGTAAATTTTTTTTTTTTTTTTGTGGCGCTAGCTGATTTATTCAATATCATTACACGGATTCGTCATCATTACATCATTGTGCATTTAAAGTTAAATACGATCCTTGGACACAAAAATTTATATAAAATTGAAATGGCTTTAATGTTCCATTCCGGTCTTTCAAAAGACCTTTCCTTAATATTAAATGATTCTGATGATTTTAACGTTATTATTCAAGTTGGTGAACGAGTGAATGAATTATGATAAAAAATAACATGATCATATTTAATAAACCAAATATTTCTCCTACTGTTTTTGAAATGATTTTGAAGTAAGTACATTATCATATGACTGTTGAAGTTGATAATCATTTATCATTTATTTATTTATTTAAATTTACGTAACTTTACTTTTTAAGATATATTTATACGGGTGAACTTAATTTGATAAATAAACCAGGTGAAGATATTCTTGGGCTTTTAGTCGCTTCTGATGAGTTACTTCTTGAAGAATTATTTAATTACTCTCAAAATTGTTTATCTTATTTAATTAAAGAAAAACAATCATGGTTTCAACAAAATTTCGTTCACGTTCTTAATACGATCTCTAAACTTGCAAATTGTGAAAAATTGCAAGAATATTGTATTGAATCAATTTGTATGGACTTACAATCATTTATTACTTTAAAAGGTTTTTCCAAATTAGACAAAGATATTCTTTATTATTTACTTGAACGAGATGACTTGCAAGTTGAAGAAACTGTTATTTGGGATTATCTGATTAAATGGGGTATCGAACAAGCTGATTTGGATAACAATAGAGCCAATTGGGATCATGAGGAATATGAAGCGTTAAAGAAAACTTTGATTTGATTAATTCCTCTTGTTCGATTTATAGAATTTAATCCTTCCGAATTTTTTGATAAAGTTTATCCTTATAAGCCAATTTTTCCCAAACATATTTATGATGATGTTGTAAGTTCTTTTAACAAAGGTGGGACGTTATCGACAAATATTCCATATTTATCACCTGGAAAAATAAAAATTAAATCAAAAATCATCAAACCAGGACTTGCAAATATAATTAATAATTGGATCAATAAAAAAAGTGCAAAATTTGTTCATATTATTAAAGATGATCCATTATATAATTTACAAAAATTTGATCTTATTTATCGTGGTAGTCGTGATGGGATTAGTAATGATTCATTTAAAGAAAAATGTAATGGTCAAGTAGCAAGTTTAGTTTTAATTAAATTTAAAAATTCGGAAAAGATTTTTGGTGGTTATAGTTCTATTGGTTTTAATACCATTAGTAATGATCTTTTAAATTTTAGTTATAATGATAAATTTTTATTTTATTATTCAACTGATAATTTTATTTTTTCTTTTGAAAATAGTGAAGATACTAGTAATATGAAAATGAGTCTTGTAATAAATTATTCTAAAGCTGTATTAGATTATGATCATTCTGGTTTTAATTTCGGTCGAGGTTCTTTATTTATGAAAGATCAAAAATTATATGTTAATAATTGTTATGTTTATATAAATTTGTACAAAGAATTATACATATAATATTGTTAATAAACTTTGAGAAATTTAACCATTTGTGCAATATTGAATACCCTGAAAATTTTGTGATGTAAATAACATTATTAAATTATCTTTTTATGTATTTTACTATATATATGATATATTGGTTAAAAATAAAATTTAAATTGTTATATTTAATAAAAAGTAAATTGCTAAAGCTCACAGGCGGTGATGGTCACCGTACCAGCATTAAGATGTATTTTCGACCGGAATTAAAAACCTAATAAAATAATGGCCGGAATCACATCATAATTTCATCATCGGTAACCATCACCACCGGTGATTTTAGCAATACCCTAATAAAAAATCATGATTATAAATTAACCAGAATTAAAATTAGATAATATCATCTGGTGATAATTTATTCTATGTATTTCCAAACATTTTAGATGTCTTCATGAGTAAAGATGAAATCTAGAGTACAATGACTTAAATTGTCTTAAGGAGCAAGAAACATTTAAATAAGAAAACAGCACATAACTAAAGAAATAGAAAGTGAAATAACTAATGAAACTCAATTTGAAGCAAACCTTTAAATGATAGTTATTGCTGTTATTGCTCATTCAGGTAGGTAAGGTCATGATGATAGTTTAATAATAATATATAAATAAAAGTATAGAATGAAATTGGTTTTCTTTGTGAAATAAAATAGTTTAAATATCTATACTGAAGCTTTGATACTAAAACTTATTAAATTAATTAATTTAATATCAAAAGAATTTGATATTTAGCCATTAACAAAAAATATCAGACTGTCAGAATTATCATGATCCTAATAGGCTGACCAATGATATATATCAGTATCTTATAAAAGTATTAAACAAATTCACTGTCAAACCACCCGCCATAATGATTAATTTTTTTTAAGCAAAAAATATTTTGTTTGATTCTTTATCTCAAAAAAATCAGAAATTTTGGAATAAAAATTACCTAATTTGAGAATTTTAAATTAACTACTATCAACTACACATGTTAAAAAAAATTTAATGAAAAAGCAACATTGATAGTTTAAAATATTTTACACTAATGTTAATTGATCAAAGATAGAAATGATGATGATAAGTTTGCATGGTTTCTTCAATAATCAAAAGAATTAAAAGAAACTTTAGGTGTAAACAAAAGTTTTAACAATGAACTTTTCTATACTATCTCAATAGACATAATAGGATGGCTAATTGGGTTACGCATCATAATTTCTTTTTACTTATCAGTTATAACCCAAGACTAGGAAAACGGAAACCGTTAAAGTCCTCCAGACTTTTTGGTATTTGTGTGATGAACATGAGTGCAACTAAATTATACAACATTAATATATTCCAGGGCTCGCATTAAAAAAGGAAATGAAAGTGTTGTTTGTGACGGGATAAAATGAAACAAGGGATAAAATTATTTTTTTTTTAATTAAAACTTTATTAGTATTGGCAAAAATTACAACGTAATTAATACCAAAATCAACCTGAGTAAATACATTGGATCAATAAAGTATCATCTAATACAAAATTTGAAGCTATACTATAAAAACTTAACTAAATTGGATATCGCCTATTATAGTACTAAAAATACTCTATTTAGTATTTACTAACATGTTTATTATTTACGTTCAAGTAACACCATTTATCACAATTTCTTTATCTTTACCTTTAGATCCTTCTGCTTTATCACTAATATCTTTAACCCTTTCACTAAAAATCTCATTTTAATTTGTTAAATTCTTCAACCTTATCATTCCTACATATCACACGTCGAACCCGTTATACCATCTGTCGTTTCGTAAAATTGTTCGTCTTCTTACAGATCAAAATTTTTGTTTGACGTCTTCTGTGACATACTACTCTAAGTTCTCCGTGTTTTAAAAGTTCCGTTTTTATCATTTTTATCTATTATTTCGTCTCGTTTTATAATTTGAAGTCCTGCTCCCAAATCATCTTCCATCGCTGATTTATATATGGTTCATGGCTTTCATCAGGACCAAGAAATATATATATAAAAGGGTCAGGTTTGGGTTTTTGGGTAGAAGGTATTCTTTTCATAGTCATTCTCTTTAAAAAGCGCTACCTACGTCATTAGGTATAAAGGAAAGAATTAATAATCCTTTTAGTCAGAGATGATGACATATATTTTACTAAGACAGAGCAACAATTTTTCATATTGAGTTCAAAATTATATTCATTTCATCACATTTCATCAAAATTATTACTATTAAGATTGTGTGACTATAAATGATATAAAAGTTTAAATTAGCTTAATTTTTTACTTTACATATCTTACATCTCATTAAAAACAAATAAAATGCCTTGTCAACTTCCCGCTGATTGTCTCATTGATATATTTGAAAATTTATATGATGATAAAAATACTTTATATTCATGTCTATTAGTTAATAGTCTTTATTGTGAAACTGCAGTTAGAATTTTATGGAGGAATGTTTGGAAATTTTACAATGATAATAAGCCATATATATCATTATCAATTATTAATACTTTAATTGCTTGTCTTCCTAAGGAATCAGAAGAAATTTTACATAAGAATGGAATTATTATTGCTGTTCCAATTCAGAAACCTCCATTATTCAATTATGCATCATTCTGCAAAGTTATCTCAATTTATAAAATTGAAGTAATGATTCAACATACACTTAAAAAATATAAAAAGCAAAAATATTGTTATCACAAGAAATATTAAAAATGCTTTTAAATCAAATTAGATCATTAAAAGTTTTGAAGTGTAACAATTCACGTTACGAAGATCTTTATTTATTATCTGAAGCGAAAATCCATTTATCAAACCTTGCAAAATTAAGATGTGATTCAGATATTTGTCCTAAATTTATTTCTCATAATCTGCAATCATTAACTATAAATTTTAGGAATTTATTTTCAAAATGGATAAGAGATTTGATTTCTTCGCAAAATAATTTAAAAATTTTAAAAATCGCAAATCTTCAGTATATTAGTAATTATGAATATAAAGAAATAATCCTTTCATTAACTAAGCATTCTTTAACATTAACAAGGTTAACATTAGTGAATTGTAAAATAACCAAACAATTTATAGCTATGTTCAAAAATTTACAAGAACTCAATTTAGATCAAAATGATACTTTTTATCAATTGCAGAATGCTTATTTTTCACAATTGAAAATTTTAAAGATTGTATATGATAATAGTTATTTTTCAAAAGATAGTATTAAAATATTATTTAAATTTTTGGAAATTAATGGAAATAATTTAACAGTATTATATATATATAATAACTATTATGAACAATCATTAAATTTAGCTTTAGCTAAATATTGTCCAAATCTTAAAATTTTATACACTTATATTAGGGATGAAGAAACATTGAAACTAATACTGAATAATTGTCAATATTTAGAAGTTATTGAATTTTGTTATGATGGTTCGTGAATGGCTTGATAGTAAAATCTTCTTCAAGGTTTTAGCAAATTATTCACAAAAATATTTTAATGGTTTAATTTTAGATTTTTATTCTAGATTGCCAATAGAAGAGCTTTATCAAGATTTAAAGGAATTTTTTATAAACTGGCAAGGTCGTACATCACAAAGATCACTTTCACTGATCTTTGTTATTTCTGAAACTTATTACATTACTAAATCAGCAAAGATAAATATGAAGGATATAAAATTACTTATTGATAAATATAAGAAATTAGGCATTATTAAGAAATTTGAATTAAAAAGATAACAATTCGTAAATTTCTTAATGAAATATAATATATATTAATAGGGTTTTGTTTTTTATCGCACCCGCGATATGTCGCAAGGGCATGCGCCTCCTAATTTTATTGGCGAAAAATTTTTTTGTGGCGCGTCAAATTTCAATTGTAACACGATCTTAAAAAATTTTTTTTTAAAAAATTCTTCTATCTGTTTTGGTTTCTTTGTCCCTACCCTTTAATAAAAACAAACCTTTACATTTCTTTTCTAATTACGTTTTCATTAAAAACATTGTTTATCATGTTTATATTCGATGGTTGGTTTCTTTTTTCTTCTTTTTTGTCTTGTTTTGAAAACTACACTAAAGGTTTTTTTTTCTTTTTTCAGGTCCTTTGTGTTGTGGATTTGACATTAATATCATTTGAAAAGAGACTTTTCGTTCTTTAAAGACTCGGTAGGTGAAGTTTAATACACCGTGTTTAATAACCTTAAAAACACTATTAACAATTTTTTTTTTTACTTTAGATTCTCTCACTTTAGATTCTTTTCACAATGGAAGTTTAATGTCAATTTCGTTACTCTTCCTTCTTCTCATTTAGAAAAAATATTGGTAAGTGTCGGTTATATAGACTATGAACTAATTTAAACAGCCTCTTTAAAGTTTTTGTATATGTATTAACCTCTTGTAAACGATATTAACCAATTTTTTTCTTTTTTTTAGGTTCTTTAATTTGATTTCCTTTCTAAAGAAGACCTCTTACTTTCCACTTTGGCGAAGTCTCGGTAGGTGTTATTCAGGTTGTTGGTGTACGCGAAGCTTTTAGAAACAACACTAACAAGTGTTTTTTCTTTTTTTTTAGGTTTTTTTTCATTGTAAAAGCTAAGATTTACCGCCAATTGTGTTTTTTTTCATTTCGGTAGGTGTTACATAGGTTAATAGTGCATGTAATAACCTGTTATAAATGATATTAATGTGTTTTTTTCTTTTTTTAGGTTCTTTCACGTTGTTAAAGCCAAACTTTAAAGCTGATCTCATTTTTAAGGTACCTTTGTTACCT